GAGGTTGGCCCAGGATCAGACATTGTTTCATTCTGCTGTGCATAGGATCGCTATGAGTTGGTGCTGACTTGATGGCACCTAACAACAACAACCACAACAACATTGTGGTGCTTTTAATATTCTCCTCCAACACCGTAACTCAAAGCATCAATTCTTGTATGGTCTTCCGGATTCACTGTGCAACTTTCGTATGTATATGAGGTTATTGAAAATAATATGGCTTGGGTCAGGCGCACCTTAGTCCTCAAACTGACATCTTTGCTCTTGAACACTGTAAAGAGGTTTTATGCAGCAGATTTGCCTAATGCAATATGTCTTTGCAATACAGCACCACATACTGTATTAATATTTTCTCCCATGTTGCCTGAAGAACAAACCAGTCTGTGTTTGAAGTAGTGCAGCCAGAATGCTCCCTGGAAACCAGGATGGTCAGACTTGGTCTTTCATACTTAGGACATATTGTCAGGAAGGACCAGTCCCTGGAGAAGGATATGTTTGGTAAGGTGGAGGATTAGAGAAAAAGAGGAAGACCCCCAGCGAGATGGATCGGCCCAGTGGCAGCAGCAATGAGCTCAAATGTAGCAATGATTGTGAAGTTGGTCAGGACCAAGCGGTGTTTCCTTCTGTTGTGCATAGAGTTGCTATGAGTCAGTACTGACTGGATGGCACCTAACAACAACAAAGTGGTGTTGTAGGATAAGCACAAGGTTTTTTTTAGAACTGCATTATTAGTGGTTTAAAATCACCAGCCATTCCTCAGAAGTCCTATTTTGTTGTTCTTGCTAAGTTCTATAGAGTAGGTAGGTTCTGACTCATAGTGACCTTATATAGGGCTTCCAAGGAGCAGCTGCTGGGTTTGAACTGCCAACCATTTGGTTTATAGTCCAGTACTGATCCTGCAGCAACACACCCTTTTTCACTCTGTTTCCTTAGCTGTAAAATGGTGATAATTACAGTATCTATTGCATAGTATTGCAGAGGAGACGAAATGAAATCGAATAGGACCTGTAACATTATGGCCATGAGAAATTTTCATTCAAGTCAATTTTACTAG